GCACTGGGGTGGCATTTAATTTCATTGTACAAGTAGTATAATGACAATAAAGATTTCTATTCTACCTAATGGCTTGACTTGGCTTTCCATACCTTTAATTTCTACCTTCCTCAATTGCAATTCCCAGAGTTCTCAGCCATGGTTTCAGCCAACTGTAATCATGGCAACTGTGGTTCCAACACCTCTGGAGGGCACCAAGTTGGGTCAGAATATTTTATATTACACTACAGCATATTATTATGTGATATCAAATCAGACTTGCATCTTAGCGACTACACAGATAAGACATTCTCCAAGATGATTTCTCCTGAATCTGGCCCCTCAGGTTTTCCAACAGTACACCTATCACCACTGTAATTGGGTCCATTTATCCTGCTGCTGGTAGTTCTTTTCTTCTATTTCCTTCCCCATCTCCCAGCATTATGTACTTCTTAAGGAAGCTAGTTCTTCAGATACTGTGTCCAAAATATGATAATTTGAGCCTGATAGTTTGTGCCTCAGATGAAAATTTGGATTGACTTGTTCTATGATCAACTTGTTTTCTTGACTATCAAGAGTCTTCATCAACACCAAGCTCAAAAGCATCAATACTCTTTTTATCCTGCTTCCTCAAAGTCCACCTTTCACCATAGAGTGCCACTGGGATAACCATGGCCTGCATGATTCTGATCTTTGTAATAGACATATCACGGTACCTTTTCCAAGGCCTCCTGGTACTCTACCAAGTGTTAGTCTGTGGGATATTTCTTGACTGCTGGTTCCTTAATTGTTGATGGTGAACCCTAAAAGACAGAAGTATTCCACCTTTTCAGTATCTTCATTGTCAGACTGGTTGTACCTGTTGTCATTAGGTTTTCTTTATATCTAATCTTAGTCCCATTTTTTTCACTGTACTCCTTGATTTTAATTATTAGAGCTTACAGATCATCTGCATTTTCAGCTATCAGAGTAGTATCATCAGCATGGTGCAGGTTATTGATGTTTCTTCCTCCAATTTTAAAACCATACTCATCTTCTTTCAATCCAGCCTCCCTTAATACATCTTCAGCGTATTGGTTGAATAAGTAAGGAGAGAGTATAGAGCCTTGTCTCATTCCTTTGCTGACCAGGAGCCAGTCTGCATGTTCCTTTAGGACTCTGGCCTCCTGTCCCTCTAGACAGGTTTCACATGTTAACAATGATTTGTTCTGAGATTCCCATTTTCGTAAGCACATTCTACAGCTTGTCATGGTTGACCCAACTGAAGGCCTTTCTATAATCAATGAAGCACATCCTGACTCTTTTTTTTTTTGGTATTCTTTTTGGCTTTCTCAATTATCCAACATGTGTCAGCAATAATGACCAAATCACTGTTCATCTTCTAGTACTAGAGGTTCTTATAAATAGGGAGTATCTTTTAAGGTGTATTGAATATTGACATATCTACTATATAGGATTTCATTATACTCTATCTTTCTTTGATCGATTATTATGTGTTTGTTGGCATTCTTTAAGTATATTCAGTTCAATTCAGGACTGAAACCTCTTTCTGAGATCTTTTCGAACTCTTGCTTTCTCTGTTTCCAACTTCAGTGTCTTTACAGATGTTGTTGTAATACTGCTTCACATCTCTTCTAACAGCTCTGAAATGCTTTGTTAACTTTCTTCTTGTGATTTTAATATTTATTTATTTCCTTATTGATTGGCTTTGGCTTCTCTTTTGGGCAATTTTCACCATCTGTTCCAGTTTCCTTTCTTCTGTTTGGCTTTGGCAGTCTCTTTTCACATTCACCTTTGATTTTGTTCCAGGGTTCCTCTGGTTCCCTAGCAGTGAGGTTCAGGATTGCAAGGTGATTCTTGATGTTATCCTTAAAAATGATAGGCATATGCTCAAGATCATATTGCTGCAACTGTTTGGCTTTGTTCTTTCACTTTTCTGTGTGCTCCTTCTGGTGGTCCAGGTGTTATTTTGGTTGTTTGAACACTGTGTTAACAATGAAGAAATCAGTGGATGGGCAAAAATCAATAAATTGTTCTCCTGTTTCATTTCTGTTTCTAGGCCACTGTTTCTGACTACATTTTCCTCCTTACCATTTCCAACTTCGGCATTCTGGTCTCCAACCACAAGCAGCACATCTTGGTTGCATGTTTTGTCAATTTCAGATTGAAGTTGACCATAAAACTCATCAACCTCCTCTTCTTCTGCATCAAGGGTTGGAGCATAAACTTGGATAACTGATATTAAAGGGTTGTCAATGAAATCTAAATTATATTAATTGAATAAATAAATATTATTCAATCTTTGACTGCATTGTATCCAAGTACTGTCTGCTATATCTTTCCTGAATATGAAAGCTGTTCCTTTTTTGCTGTTCCTTTTTTGTTTTTCACATCCTGAGTAGGAAACAGCATCATCTTTTGAGTAAAAGTGTCCAATTCCAGTACATTTCAATTCATTCATGCCTCAGGTGTCAATGTGTAAAATGCATATCATCTTTCACTGGACTGAACTTTCCCATGTTCATGCTTTTTATGTTCCATGTTCCCACTGTAATTCTGTATTTGCAGCTTAGGGTTCTCATTTCCAGCATACCTATATCAGCAACTAGATAGCCTTAAGGATATCCTTTAATCTAGCCACATCAAAAACACTATTAGTATTCTAAAAGATCCTCAACTCTTCCTTAGCAACATGTTGTCTTACCTGACTTGAGGGGCACTCTGCTATCAAGCATGATATAGTGATTGTCTACCCATGCAGTTTTCTTGATAAAATACAGGAGGGGTTTATCATTGCTTTCTCCAGAGTATGAAATGATACCTTTGATGTTTTCACTAAAGTGATCATCTGCCTGTAGCATCACTACTTCCTAATATCAGTTATCAAAACTGATAACTAAGTTATCCTAGTTGATTTAGCTAGAAGAATCTTCACACCTGGGGTGACTCTGCTGGGAATATATACTCTTGGCATACATACCTGTCATTTTTGCCAGGAACACCCTCCCCCCTCCCCACGATGAGGCAGCATAGTAGGAATTGGGGCAATGGGGGGGCGGGGTGCAGATTAGCATACTATAGCAATAGCATAATACTACATGATGGCTGAAGGTAAAGCATTTCACTTGTTTTCCCACACAGCCACCAGCTGTGATCTTCAAAGACCAGCAAACAGGAAAGAAAGACTATTAAATATATTTTCTTTCTATTCTTTTCCTAAAGTTCTTACCTGTGTAAGGATGTAACTTCTGTGTGCCTCCTCCATTTTTATCAAACTTGCATTGACATAATCATTGTCACCTTGCTGCAGCTTAATTCGGCTGTGGTCAACTATAGAATGTATAAGAAACCCACGTTGTTAAACACTTGTACATTATTCATACTTTGCTAAACAGCTCATTCAGGAACAAATATGTAAGTCTTTTACTTCCAGATATATGAAACACAAAACAACCCCTTTATTCTTAAGAAAAACTCCTGTACTATTATCAAGTATTCTTGAGAAAAAGCAGAGCACTTTATATTTAACAAGAATAAAAATATTTTATTTGCCCTATGTTATTTTCTCATTTTACATAAAACATTGACATCCTACTTTCCATAAAACTTCCCAAAGTGGTTTAAGAACCAAATTTAAAAACTGTTATGAAACAACAAAAGTTAAAACAAAGAATAGAAAACACATACCTTAATGTATGAGAGGGGGGGAAAAAAAAGAAGAAAAAAAATTCTGTATCATTTACACAGGGAAAGTCTGAGTGAAGGAGTAGACATTCAGTAAACATCTAAATAATATAACAAATATTTGTCTCTTGAATTTGGGGGTGGTGGAGGTGGATCGTTCCAGACAGCGGCAGAATCACTAAGATGATCACTAAGATGCATGCAACATTGTACTCAAATGATCTCAATAATCTTGCAGATTTAAAATGAGTACCTCAGTTCCAAGTTGTTTGGGGTTTTATATGCTACCTAGTAGTTAAATGGTAGGTAGTCAGTTAGTCAAGACCGCCATTACAATTACTTCAGTACAGAGTATATGTAACATGTCCATGGCCTGGTGCTTCATTCAGCAACACAGCAGCTGCATTGTGTCCTAGCTGCAACTTCCAAACCAGGTACATGAGAATGCTTTATAATAAGCCAAATGTTGGATTATCAGCACATGGGTAACACTGGCTAGATTATCTCTAACCAGGAAAAGGGATAGTTAGTAAATCAGCTGAAGCCAACCATGGCTGCTCCTAGCAACATAAACCACCTGGGACTCTAGAAATACTGAAGACTGTAGGAGCACCTCCACCTTCTTTTGATGGTGTGTAATCTTATTTAGAACAGGCACAATATAGAGAGTCATAGGGATACACTAATTTAGAATTTACCATCTTATATGCAGGATTTTATGAGCTTTTCCCTAAACCATCCCTTTCATTCTCAAGAGAAACTGGAATCTCAATTGCAAAAGGCCTTAATTGCTTCACCTGCATTGTCATATATATTTCATTCAGTTAACATTTCTTAGAACTCACCCAGTGGTTATCAATATTCAAAGCACTCTGACAGTAACTGCACTTTGTTTTAAAGATCCAAAGTTTGCTCTCTTTAGCCCACCCAGATATAAAAGAATCCCCACATTTTACAGGAAAACCAAATTGACTGGAAGCCATTTCATCTAAAATAAACAAAATCAATGGTGGTTACCACAAAAAGAATCTCTAGAACTGATCAGTAAGCAAAATCGTGTGCAACATTATAGCTTGTATTGAGTTTTCCTGGAAGGCTCAACAGATTTTTAGTCTATTAAGTGATTGTAGAGGTTTTCTAACATATGGAGAAGAACAGATTGGGTATCTGAATGTGTAGCACACATGACTATCAAAATACGATTTCTGTGTAGATGGTTATTACACTTGGAGATGAGCAGATGCAAAAGAAAGCTAGTGCAGTAATGTGAATACAAGACAAAATTTTAACATTTGATTTTAACTTCCCCTTCACTGTCTCCCACCCATACTCATTTCTTAGGATTTCATGAGAACTTTTTCGTAAGCCTTTTTTTCCCCTTTGGAATTCACTGCCATATGTCATAGCCACTTGTTCTATATAACACCCTTCCAGATAGTTGAAGAATGCTACCTTATCTGCACCCCCAAGTCTTTTCAAAATCAAACATTCCTAGTTCCTCTGTTGATAGGATTTAGTTTAATTGTCTGACCATCCTTATTGCTCTTTTCTGAATCTGTTGCATTTTATCAAAACCTTTCCTAAAGTGTGGTGCCCAGAACTGGATATAATACTCAAAGTGGGATCAGGCCAATGCAGGATAAAGTGGAGCTATTATTTCCCATGATATGGGACCTATATTTCCCTTAATGCAATCTAAAATTGATCTTTTTACAGCCACATCACAATGCCGACACACATTTAGTGTGCAATTAACTATAATTCCAAGGCCTTGCATTAAGGGAAATTTTGAAATATTACACATATTACACAAACCAGCCATCCCCTATTCTATTATTGTGCATCTGATTGCTCATTGAAATACTTACTGCACGTATCTATTGGAGTAAATAGGGTGAAGGAAATATCATAAGCCTTGTATTCTGTTTATTTTTTTAATCTCCTGTTGCCTTCTATCTTATCCAATGCAGAAAGACAAAAAAGAGCCATTCATTTTCTCTACAACCTCATTAAGCATCTCTACCTAATTTCTGATTCCAATGCATTCAAAGATTTTTAATTGTTAAATTTACTGTGTTGGGCACCTCAACCTCCTTTCTCAGAGCCCCTGTGTGCATGCATATTTTGTACACATTCTTGTTTCTTGTTTTTCTGCTCTTTGTAGGACATTTCTGTCCTATGATGAGATAACTCAGAATAGCAAGCTATAGCCCAGGTGTGCAAGCTCTTCTACCTAGGATTATTTTATCAAATCTTCATGTATAAATTACTCTTTACAATTACACAACTCTCTCCTGGATCTTGCTCTTTCAGAAACCCTGTTTTGCAGTTCCCAGAACCTCATCTGGCTATAATTGCAGGAAACTGGCTGCCAAATTTTGCAGGCTTTTGAAATACTGTAAGAATACTGTAAGACCTAAAACAGGCTTAATATAACAAAGAATGCGATGAAAAAAATCTTCTCACTCAGAAAATCCTGGTCCACAAATCTTCATGATGTGGTCCCACCTACTTGACATCCCATCTGACTCACTGGGGACTTCAATAACTCCCAAATATTAAGTGAAGCGTCCACAACCAAAAATGTTGCACAAGTCTTACCTATGTATATACTGTAATTCTAATTCATAGACTGGCATTACATTTGAAATACCCTGCTGTTCTTTTATTTTTAAAAAATTCTATTAGGAAAATAATAATGCTATAGTTTTCGTAAATGAATTGAGAGGGTCATGATACTTACAGGGGCTTACATCTCTGTACCTGTTGCGATTTTTGTTCCTAGGATGTTTGGCCACTTTACATGGAAAGTCACTGGCTTCATGTTTGATATCCTAGAAGGAAATAAAGGAAGACATTGGTATAGGCTAGGAATTGTGTATATTACCACCTGCTTTGAACTGTTGGTTCAGAAAAATCACTGAAAGTTAGTGGCTTATCACCATACTGGATTCTGTTTGCTCTTAATAGTTGCTGTGCAAACTCTCCAAACAGTGGCAGTTTTTAAGATTAATGATGGCAAAGATTCAAGGCAGGTATTACAGACGAGCAGCATATTTCATCACTGAAAATAAATTTGGAAACTAAGAATTTTAAGAAAAAGATATCATGTTCCATTAGATTTACAGCACTAAATACAATTTTATTGTTGAAATACATCAGTATCTGTATGGGGCAAGTACAAAGAAAGAAATGCAAGTAGAGCAGCTGAACAAGGATATCTACAGGAACACATATGCTTCTTGATATCCTACATGCCACCCTTTCATACATACATATTAATAGCTAAAGGCTACAAATGCCTAGTTAAGATAAGAACCTAAGTTTCCTTGAGTCATCAGCAAGCTGTACAGGAGCTGTGGATGTTCAAAGGACCCTTTGCAATGGAGGCATATTGCACTTCACAGCAGCATACAGTAGATACTGCCATCCATCTCTCTGGCAACTCACAACAAATTCAACATTCACTGTAAGTGACATTATAACAGAAACTTAGTGCAGGATGAATCAAACCTGTGCACTGCATGCCAGGAACTTAAAGCAGAAAACTAAGTATGCATCACTTAAAAATGCAGAGATTAAAAATGCAGAGAAAGAGAAAAGTTACAGGATTTTCACTTGAAGCGTTTTTTCCCCCACTAGACTTGCAGTGGACCTATTTTTTAGTTATACTATTAATTAAATAAATGTAAGACAGCTTACACTAAGGCCATGCAATCTTGTTTTCCACAGCTCAGGGGAGAAGAATCTACAGCCCTCCAAGATGCTGCTGAACTACAATTGAACATGTTCTTCTCCAGCCTCTGAACAGTTAATCAGTTTTAGCATTCATTCTCTTTTTAATCTTTGTACTGTGCCTTTAAACTTTGTGAACCATGCTGAGTGATCATTTGATCAAAGACAGAATATAAATCAGATCAAGTTCCAACTCCCACACCAATGGACAATGTTGGTTGCAGCTGAAGTTTGAGGGCCCAAGGATTCTTTATTCCTATAGTGCTCTGCTTAGATCAGTGTTTCTCAACCTGGCAAATTTCAGATGTGTGGACTTCAACTCGCAGAATTCCCTAGCCAGAAGTCCACATATCTTAAAGTTGCCAAGGTTGAGAAACACTGCCTTAGTTGTAAGATACAGTATTTAGTGCCAGATCATAATCAAGTTGCTTCCCCCTCCCCATATTCTAGTCAAACTGTGGTACTAAATTTAAAGGATGCTTTAAATTAGATCTGAGTGTACTGAAATCTTCCAACAGATAGTGAATGATCCCCCATGTTTGTTGAAAGAGACTAGGAAAATCCCACTATTGAAGGAAAAACAAAACAAACAGGCCTTGACTCCCAAGAAGTGACCAACAATTAGCCAGTGGTAACAGCTGCTCAAGAGGGCAGTTGCCAGCTGACTCTAAAAGACCCACTGCATGGAATTGATTTTCCAGAACAATTTCAAGTTAGTTTCAGGCCTGATTTTAACACAGAAATAGCCTTGGCTAGTGAAGACTGGATCTTTTATTCTCTGTTAGCTTTAAGCTATTTTTAGCCTTTGAGACCTGCATTTTTTACATTGTACTTACACTCTATTTCTACCATTATTAAATTCTGAATGGTTTGATTTCTCGTGCTAAATCACCTTAAGGATGTTATTGTTACTATATTATTTATATCTATAAATACTCTTCTATATACTGTAAACAAAAGAACAAATGCTAAATACATGTTAGCACACAGGAGCATAATGTATCTTCAAAGGAATAATATAGGAACGCTGTCAAACCTAGTCTACTTCTCAAATCTGCCAGCCACTGCAGGACAAGACTTTTCTAGTTTCATATCAACTTCTACAGCAAAGAACTTTCTTTTGGTATCGTTTGGTGAAGATAGATCTTGACTGTTGGTCCTTTTAGTTTTACAGAATGTTTCATATTCTCTGGATAAGAGCGTCCTATCACATCCTTTATGAAAGGGCGAGAGTTAAAAGAACAAGAGTGTTTGATGTTTCAACTCTTCATGTATGTTTGAAACATGGCATGAAACAGGAAGATCTATTTCTGAGTGGCACTGAGCCAACCGATATCTTTAAGGGTAGAGGTCACAGGTAGCCAATATTTGCACTTTTGCACAAGTTGGCATTTCCAAAATCTAAGTAGTAAGGACTTCACAGGTTTACATGCATGAGAACTGCACAGCCATCAATTCAATGCAGAGTTTGAAACCAAAGCATGGCATACTTGTCCTAAAGTATCCCAGCCTACATTGTGGAGGGATTTTTGACGAACAGGCAAGATAATTCAAATCTAATCAGTCATGGTTATAGTCTTATGTGGTACACCCTGGCAGAGCTTTATTCTCTATTCCCATTATACTGGCCCCAGTAGTCCAAGAAAAAAAGGTGGCACATTTTCCATACTGTGTCAGAAACAGAAGTCTTGCTGTTCTTCTATTTCCAGTGTTCAATACCTACACAGTTTGAGGATGAGTAACAGGATATCAACAGTCTTATGTGCTTGAATCATTTAAGAAAAAGAGGTCTAGCAAGTACAGCATGTGAGTGGGTAGAAAAGGCAGCAGAGGGTTGACAGATCACTATTTCCCATCTTTTCTGCCTTTCTGGTAAAACTAAATGGAACAGCTTCCCATTTCCTTCATGAGTAGGGAATCAGCTTATATTATATATGAAGAGGTTTAGACCGAGAACGAAGGGAGCAGAAATGAGCATGGCATCACCATCATACTAGAACATTTAGATGCATCATAATGGACTGCTAAATTCTTGGGAGCTTTGAGCATGTTTTTTAAATGATAAAAGTGGTTAATTTTGTTAATCAATAAGAAAGAAATTCACGTCTCAGCTCTAGAATGGGTGGTTGAATTAGGAAATAGATTCTTATAGTTATAACTTCATAGTGCCCCTGAATGTTCAGGTTCATTCCCCCATATTCTTCAACACAAGGATATTAGAAAAATATGGTGACTTACATCTTGAATCCCAGTTTAGCAGTCTTTAGCTTTCCCCAAACTTGGTGTACTTCAGAAGTATTGGGATTACATCTCCCAAAATTTCCAGTCACTACCTCCATCACATGTGGGGGGACTGGATTAAGAAAGTACTTGAATAGGAATGGGGAGAACCAAACACAAGACGTCTGAAGGACACTGCCTCTCTAGCTATTTTTCATTCTGGCTCCACCCACAACTGGCATTCACTTTTTTTGGATTAGAGAATGCAATTCTTGGGCCAAAAAGAGTCCTCCATTCCCACTTACTGTCACCTTCTACTTGGTGTGGAGAAATTTTCCATAAGTATTCTAAGGTACTGTCCAGCCAGAAACTTTCTTTAATTGTTTAGGCATTCGACATTCACATTAATGAGGCTGAAAAAGGTTTTATATCAGTTATGTGGCTCATGTTATAGTGATGTGAGATTTTGCTATAATGTGGCAAAAGTTTGCAAAAGGAGACTATGATAATCACAAAGAATAGAATTAAAGAATTCAGGTCAAACTTCTTTTATGTCGCCCTTTTCTATAATTACTACATTCAAAATGGCTTTACAAAAGATAGCTACCACACACAAGTTTATTATAAAAATGTAATGAACCACTACATTATTACATTCCTAAGCCACTGGATCTTAGTACATCTTCATTAATCATATTGCATACCCCCCTCACACCTTCAGATGATATTTGCAGAACCCTAAAATGGTAAAACTGTTATTTAAAAAAAATAGTGGGAATCTCATGAGATCATCACAAGATATAAATTTAGCAAGAATTC